CCAGTCTTACATTTAGGTCTTTAATCCATTTTGAGTTTATTTTTGTGTATGGTGTTAAAGAGTGTGCTTATTTCATTCTTTTACATGTAGCTGTCTACATGCCAAGCTCTTTACATAAATAATTCCTTCAGATCCTTACATTGATGATATGAAACAGATTTTCATGTTTTCAAATTAGGTTTGGCCTATGGCAAAATTGTTACATGAATGCTTTTTATCTTCAGAACTCCTTGGCCCTTTCCCGAAGGATCATAATCCAAGACTTATAATTATTCTTCCCACTGCCCAAACTGTCTTCCTCCCATCCCAAGCCTGGTGGTGTCAGTATCAATGGAATAAAACTGGTCCTATGATATGCTTAAGAGAGTCCCAGATGGATTTCTGGGTAACCTGGGCCCACATGTAGTAAGTACTTGCTGAATTTTGATAAGTGAATCTGAAGGCAACAATCACTGGTATCCTTAGTTTTCTTACCCACAGGGAGCCCTCATGTCGTGGTAGAAATTTCAAACTAGAAAGGAAGGAAAGGGTTCTGCCTCCACCCCTGCCCCATGTGGGAAGAGAACTCTGGATCCCTTTTGCAGTGACTACCTCTTTCTGGATATTAGGATGGTATGTCACACATAGAGATACATTGCTCAGATTCCCTCTTCAAGAAAGGGCTCATTGTGCAGCTGTGAGGAGGGGGGTTAACCCACAGCTTCCACTGTTACCTCGTTCCGATTGGCCTCCACTCTTGAGCTGAGATGGTTGTCTTCTTGGGGTGGCCCCATCCAATGACTGTGTAAGACTGTGACACAAGTTCCCATCCATTTCTGCCTAACACAGGCCTCTTCTCACATGCTCAGAGCTCCCTGCTGGGCTGGCAGAGACTTTGTCAGATCCATGTCATGGTCTGGCAACTCCCCTTCCCTAATCCCATTTCCTTCTTTTTCCTTTCACAAGTGTTAATCCTAGTAAGACTTTTACCCTCCTAAATCTGTCTCAACATCTGTTTTTTGGAGGGCCCCAGATGACACAGATGGGATGCTGTTAGCTCCAAGAAACCTTTCATCAGTGAAGGGAGTGGATATTTTAAAACTGGATTTGAGCCAGTACCAGCAGAATAATATAATCACCCTGGATGCTCAAGACCACGGAGTACTTGCACTCTGGCACATGAATCAAATAAGCATTATGTCTTGCTATTCTTTTCAGCACTATGTCTTGCTATTATATAACATGACTTGAATGTTTCTATTGTCTGTCTCAATGAGTGATTTGTTCCATTAATTAAGAGTGTGACTGAGGACAAGGTCACTGTGTCCTTTTCCAGTCTGCTGGTTAGTTTCAGTCAAGTTGCCTGTTAGCTGGTCATACATGGACTCCGTAAACCCCTTACCCACACTGAGTCATGACTTAGGCTAGTCATTTCTCAAGCTCCTAGTAAACTGTCACCCTTCCCGAGAGTCACTTATAAAATGCTCTACATTTTAGCGTTGGGTGAGGAAGTCTTAATGTGGTTGGTGACCAGTACTTGCGGCCACAAATGAAGGGCATAGTTTTTGCCTTTTTGGGTATGGAAACATCCCCTAATTCCTTGTTAGTAATGCCTGTGTTCACGCTCAGTCGCTCAGTCATGTCTGACTCTTTGCAACCCAATGGACTGTAGCCCACTAGGCTTCTCTGTCCATGGAATTCTCCAGGCAAGAATACTGGCGTGGGTTGCCATGCCCTCCTCCAGGGGATCTTCCCAACTCAGGGGAAGAACCTGTGTCTCCTGCATCTCCTGCATTGGCAAGTGGATTCTTTACCACTGAGCACCTGGGAAGCCCCATCAGACGAGCAGTACCCCTCAAATTATCCATTCACCCATCAAATATTTGTTGACCGAGAAGGTTGCTCCTTGCCTTTCACCTGATCTGACCCTCAGCTTTGTCCCTATTGTCACATTTTGGGGAAATCTACATGCAGCTCCTTCACCAAGAAGACATCCTGAGGGTCTTCTTACTCCTGTTCCATCTGTCCTCCGTGTCAGAAACATCAAGCCTTGATCTGGGTGATGGAATCAGTCAGCGTAGGGGCTCTGGGATCAGTCTTGGGTTCCAATATGGGTTCTCCCACTTGCTTGCTGTGTGATCTTGGTAAGTTTATTTAACCTCTCTGAGTCTTAGTTTATACCTTTATAAACAGGATAATAATACTTATCATACTGATCTATTATGAAGATTCTATGAAATAATATTTATAAAGCACTTGTCTAATACTCATTGATATTTACTCTATTTATGACAGCAAAATATCATTCTTTAATATCAGTCAAGTTGCAGATGGTTTTTGTACTGCTGCAAAATATATTCCCATTGTAACTACCTGCCTTGGTAAGTGGATTACAGCACAGTCCCATGTTTGAACAAATATGTTTTTTAACGCCCTTCTTTATTTGATTACCAAGTTGTTCCTAAGTTTGTTTAAGTCTAATCACCTTAAATATAAAAATAACAGATGCAACTTGACTGTAATATAGTAGTTCGGATTCAGGTGTCAATGACATGTTTGAACTGAGGGAATGTGATTAAATAATACCTCTCTGTTCCTAAATGATTGGTAGATGTTTGAGGAGAGGGAATGAAGTGGCATCATTATTTTTTGTGTGTATGATCTGGTCAGGTTTTGCTCTTAATTATTTTTCCCTTTATTTATTAATTGAAGTAAGTTAAGAACCCCATGGACAGAGGGGCCTGGCAGGCTATGGTCCATAGGGTCAAAAAGAGCTGGACATGACTGAAGTGACTTAGCCCACATGCACACAGTTGATTTACAATGTTGTGTTAGTTTCAGGTGTATAGCAAAATGATTCAGTTATACATGTATATATATATATAAATCTATTCTTTTCAGATTCTGATTCATTATTTTTAAAAAATCCTTTAGTAGCACGTCTTCTAAAGCAGCTTGCTACAACACAGAATTACTCTACGTCAAATACTTACCTTGTATATTTTGCATTATATACTAGATGTGTTCACCATTGATGGATGGTCAAGTGAACTTTTGTAAAATGAATCCTTATGCCATGTACTTATATCATCTTCTGAGAGATTCTAGCATCAGTTGTTACTCTTCTATTTTAGTTTTTTGGTCATCTTTCCTCATCTCTCTACCCCTTCCTATCTTCCATAGTAAAAAGTCAATAATTCACTCAAGTGTGACATTTATTGTTCACCTACAAGTTGTAACAGTGTTTCATATTGTTAATTTACAACTCCTACCACAAATATTTAAAGGTAATACAGGAATATTATTTAAGGGAATCCTCTTGTAAGCCAGGCATCATTCTTGATTGTTTCAGTATTAGTTCAGCTTTAGTTTTGACTGGGTTTTCTTTCACCAAGCACCTAGCTGAATTGCATCATACCTTGGTATGTTTGCACCCTTGATCTTACTATCTCAGTGGATACAGGCTGTCCTGGCAGTGCTTGAGCCTACCACCAAAAATGTGGTAGATCTGAAGTGGAAGTGAATAACCAGAGTGGGGAACAGTCAACTCAGATCTTAGTATCAATAGATAAGATCACCTACAACACAGGCTTCAGGTCATAGATTTCAATCCTATGCCCTCTCTCCACTCCTGTGGATCAGGAGTAAATAATGAAGTCACTGCCCCCAAAATAATATTCTTATTTACAAGAGGATTTTCTACAAGGTTATTTCTCAAAACAAAATCCCTGGTGCTTTCTGGGCTTTCCAGGTGGCACTAGTGGTAAAGAATCCTCCTGCCAAAGCAGGAGATGAAAGAGACGCAGATTCGGTCCCTGAGCCAGGAGATCCCCTGGAGTAGGAAATGGCAGCCCCCTCCAGTATTCTTGCCTGGAAAATCCATGGGCAGAGGAGCCTGGTGGGCTAGAGTCCATGGGCTTGCAAAGAGTCAGACACGACATTCCAGTGCTCAGTTCTGAGCTTAAAGGCACATCCTGCTTTTCAGACAGGATTTAAGGTTCAGTCATTCCAGACATGATACTGTACGTATCAGGTGCTGTGGTAGGTACAAAGCAGAACAGGAAAGGCATCTCCACCAGCAGCGGAAAATTACAGTGTGGAGCTCTAAGGGTTGGGAGTGGTGGTGGGTGCAATGGTGATCCTGTGTGAAGTGGTGGTAGCTGACGCTCCCCTCAGCACCACAGCCCAGGAAGAGTGGGGTTCATTGTGCAAACCTGGTTGCTCATAGGCTGCCATCTCTTCTTGGGAAGAATCAAAACCGGGGAGTAGAGTACACAGCCTTTGTTACTATTTATCAAATTCAATTCTTCCATCTCAGAGACAGGAAAACTTGCAATCAGCCCCTGACAAAAAGCAGTGGCTGGATATCAGTTAAGCATGAGCTAGGAATTGTCACACAAGGACCTGGGATGATTTTTTTAAAAAAAATATGGAACATTTTTATCATTTTTATTAAATCTGTAGCTATATTTCTTCTGTTTTATTTTTGGCTTTTTGGACACAAGACATGTAGGATCTCAGCTCCCAGGCCAGGGGAACGATGTCCCCTGCGTTGGAAGGCAAAGTCTTAACGACTGGACCACCAGGGAAGTCCCTGGGAAAACTTCTTAAAGCAAGCATGGATAGAATGCCACAATTCATAGGCCCACTGCCTTGTGCCAGCTCCTCCCACGACGCCAGTCACTCTCTTGGGCGTGCAGAAGGGACTGTTGGCTTTCCCTGTTGGCTCAGCAGTAACGAATCTGCTGCCAACGCAGAAGACACGCGTTCAATCCCTGGGTCGGGAGGATCCTCTGGAGAAGGAAGTGGTAACCCACTCCAGTATTCTTGCCTGGGAAATCCCTTGGACAGAGGAGCCCGACGGTGTAGGGTAAGGGAGTTAGAGAAGGCGAGGTTGGGAAAAACGACGAGACCGGCACTTTACAAGAACAGATCACCTTTAACGAGGCAAGAAGGGGCAGCAGTCAGACTAGTGAGCTGCTGCACTGACCCAAGAAAAGAGCAAGTATTTATAGGCGTATATGTGGGCATCTGCTGTCTTAAGGGGGCCTGTTCTTCCCCAAGGTTGTTTGGTTAGTTACCTCTTAAACGGCTGGGGCAAGGAATTCTGGAGATCCAGAGTTCTCCAGAATTCGATCCAAAATAATTCGGTCCAGCGGCTGGACCACTTGGAGCTGGGCATAATCAACCTTAATGTCCATTTTTTTCTTTGGGTGAGAGATTTCTTTGTTTTGCATAGAATGGTGGGGAGGACCTGGAGGGGAGTTTTAACTCCAGGCTATTTTGAGCCGTGTAACTTTCCTTCAGACGGGGTGCAGGCCATGGGCTCACACAGAGTCGGACACGACTGAGCGCTCACTCGCACTAGTACTTGCAAGAAGACATGAATGCGAGGCAGAATAAGCCACAGGTTTTAACAAGCCCCAGTTATGGGGTCAGGATCTTCCCACATCCTTTGCACATCTCCATTTCCTCCCTAACTTACAAGACCCACTCCAAGTCCTGCTGTCTCCTGGAATAAGTCTCTGATCTCACCAGCCCAATGTATGCTGGACATTCTTTTCAGGGTTCCACACAAAGCGTCCCATTGAATCTCTGCCATTTTGAAGCTATGAGGACAGGTTTAAGATCTCTGAGCATTATCCTCTGAGCGTTAGTGGGATAATTACACCTGCCTATGGTCGCTGTAGGCTTCCCAGGTGGCGCTAGTGGTAAAGAACCCACCTGCCAATGCAGGAGACATAAGAGACCAGGGTTCGATCCCTGGGTCAGGAAGATCCCCTAGAGGAGTGTATGGCAACCCACTCCGGGATTCTTGCCTGGAGAATCTCATGGACTGGAATCCCATGGAATCCCAGAGGAACCTGGCAGGCTACAGTCCATAGGGTCGAGCTGAAGAGACTTAGCAAGCTGTGCTGTTGGTGTCTGGTTTGTTCTATCACCCAGTCGTGTCTGACTCTGCGACCCCGTGGACAGCAGTACACCAGGCTTCCCTGTCCTTCCGGCTAAACCTGAAACCTCCACAAAAATCAGTCGAGGACCCACACGCTGACATGACAGTTAAGCCCATGCAGCCGTCTTAGCAGCCTGAAAAGCCACAAGCAGGTGGACAAGCACCCCTTGTCCCATCCGGTCGCTCCCAAACCTGCGTACGCGGTGGGGTAAAAGCCGAAGCCGTCAGCCCCTGAGCAGCATTTCCTGGGTTCAGCTGCCAAGGGGGCTGCTGGATGCTCAGGAGCGGGCGGGGACAGGGGGGAGCAGGGCCCACGAGCTAGTGCCGCTCCCTGGGCACCATCTGAGCCAGCCTTCCAGAGGAGGGGGACCTGGGTGCCCAGCGCGGCCGCAGGGTCCCCAGAAAAGAGGGCATTGGAGGAAAACAGCCGACAGAAGGGCTGTCTCAGTCGAGGGGCAGAGCCATCAACGCCCAGCCCTCCAACCCCCGTTCTCATCCTCTGGGACTTCCTCCTTGGCTGCCTGTCTCTGCCAGGCAGCTCAGACTTGGCACCCTCCTCCCTCTGACCGGCTCTCACCTCCGGAGCCTGGAGGGCTGAAGGCTGCCCAGAGACCAGAGCCCCATGGGGCGCTGCAGGCAGAACATGGGCCTAGCGCTGCTCTCGGGGGGCGTCCGGCAGAGGACACTCACGGCGCCACAGAGGAGGTCCGCCTGGGCCCCGGGACAGGCAGCCTCTGGGTCTGCGATCTGAATCTGCTGCCTCCTGGCCCAGGTTCGAGAACTCCAGAAGGGGTGAGCGGTGGTGGTGGGGGCAGGAACCTGGGGTCCAGAGGGACTCGGCCCAGCAATCTGGTCCTTCCTTTTCCCCCAGCAGCCCCCTTTCTTCTCTTCCATTAGAAGTAACCCCTGGAGAAGAGTATGACCCAGGACACCCCCAACAAGAGCCTCAGCATCAGGGCTTCCCTGCAGGATCCGGGAGGGGGGCGGGACCTCTACAGGAAGGGTAGCGGGAGAGGTCAGGGGCAGCTCCTTCTTCCCCAGCTGCGCGTCCCACTTGAGACTGCTGCCCTTGTTCACCACCTTGATCCTGAACGCCAGCTTCCTTACACTGACTGGCCTCAGGCTGTCAAAGAATGCCTCGCTGAACACCAGGTGGCGGCTGTTCTTGACGACGGTGCGGTGCTGCTTCTGCAGCTTGCTGGGTACCAGGCACAGACCCACACAGCAGCTGATGTTGCAGGCATCGCCCTGCCAGTTGAAGAGGCCTTTTCTTTAAAACAACAACAACAAAAATTTCTTTATTTATCTTTGGTTGCATCTGGTCTTAGTTGCCGCACACCGGCCCTGTGGTTAAGGCACATGGATGTGGTTGTTGCTCATGGGCTTAGTTGCTTTGTGGCATATGGGATCTTAGTTTCCCCACCAGGGATTGAACCGCATCCCCTGCATTGGAAGGTGGCTTCGTAAGCACTGGACCACCAGGGAAGTCCCCTTAGGCACTATCTGCATGATACTACCTCCTACCATCACCCCTTTGCTGACCAACAATGGTCTGGACTTGGTCCCATTCAGCTGAGTTATTTTCATGCTTGTAGGATTCAGTTCTTATTGAGTACAGGAAGCATTTCCCACCTTCACTGAAACTTGTTTAAAGGAAGGATGGCATCTTGCACTTCTCTATTTATCTTATAGAACCTAAGAATGGTGAGGTGTACACAGTGTTTACACACTTCCTTAGTCATTGTGTGGAAAGGAAAGACTACAGGGTTGAGTTCAGAGAATAAGGAAAAGGAATTTAAATGTCCTGAATACCAGACACCATACTTAAGAATTTACTAATATTTTATCCAACCCCATTGTAACCAACTCTGTGTTAATGCCTTGTGATAGCTACATCATCTTTGGCAGAATGATGATAGCATCATCATTCTGAGGCTATCAAAATGAAGTGACTCACCAAATTCCATTGAGACACAGAGTCCCCACCACCCCATTCCTTGGTTAGACTCCATTTCTGCCACATGTAACTGGATTTTGGATTCTAAGCCAGATCCACAGTTAAATCTGGATCCACAAGGCAGCCCTTTCAAGCCTCCACTATTTTTCTAGAGTACGTGTTTTGAGAAATTTAAGGTCACTAAGTAGATCGAAAAGCGATGAAGTTGCCAAATTTCAGTCCTTGGCCTCACCCCAGTGGATGACAGCCCATTTCACACTGGAGGAGCAGAGGTGGTGCCTTGAGGACAGTAAACTGGACCTGGAGCGGATATAAAAAAGAGGCCCTGGGGAGCCAAGCCACCATCAGGAAGAGACTCACTCCCAGTGACAGGAGAGAAGACAGCGCTGTCTCCCGCCAAGATGAAGCTGCTGCTGCTGCTGTGTCTGGGGCTGACCCTAGTCTGTGCCCAGGAGGGAAACTCTGATGTTGTGAGAAGCAACTTCGATATTCCAAAGGTAAGGGCAGGGAAGCAAATTGCAGGCAGATTCTTTACCAGCTGAGTTATGAGGGAAGCCCCACACTCACTCAAGGGCAGTGGAGCGTAGTGACTTTGGAATTTGGAGGGTGTTTTGGAAGATTCTGAAGCAGAGTGCCTCTCTGGGAGGAGAGGAGGTCCTTGACATAGTAGAGGAAATGGGAGGCTTCAGACCTTGGTCTAAGAAAGGGCAGTGGTGCCATGTTAAAAGGTGACAACACTTAGGGAACCTCCAACTTACTGGAGGAACAGTGAACAGTGGAAAAAGTCCTAGATATAGTGCCGACCGTCCCAAGTCTAATTTAATCTTCACATCACCATCATGAGAGTCCTGGCCCAGAGGTCAGGGTTCAAGGAGACAAGGGTTCATGTTGTATTCCTTTCCTCTTTTCTCACCCAGTCATTTTATTGATTTATTGCAGATTACAGGGGAGTGGTATTCCATTCTCTTGGCCTCAGACCTCAGGGAAAAGATAGAATAAAATGGTAGCATGAGGATTTTTGTGGAGTACATCACTCTCTTGGAAAATTCTTCTTTGTTTATTAACAAGCATACAAAGTAAGTGTGTATTTTTTTGCTTGGGGAAGGAAAAACAGAAGTCTGAATATGGTGTTGGACCTTTACACACACACACATATATATGTTTATATTCTGAGCCTTTACTAAAATCAGGGCCCATCCTTGATAAAATCCTTGGCACTGACCCAAGGATTGAGGGACCTGAACCTGTGACTTTGCTAGATTTCAGAGATAAGAATTGGGACAGGAATACTTTTCAGTGGAAAAAGAGGAGGTAAGGGGTAGAGACTTATCAGATCATTAGTAGTATGGAAAGACAACACAGGTTAAGAGCATAGGATTCAGAATCAACAGCCAACCCAATTCTGATTCTCTTTGTGTCACCAGGAATATTCATCTCTTTCTTCCTCAGTCTTCTCTGGAGGAAAAGATGATGATATAATTCTCTCTCTGTATTTTTGTGAGGACCAAGCAAGGTGATGTTCGAAAGGCACCATCTGAGAGACTGCCACATGGTCAGAACCCAGCTGATTCTCTAGACAAGTGGCTGTCATAATAGTAATAGTGGGAAGAGGTGATAGAGGCATAGGGATAGAAGTCGTGGACTCATTCTCAAAGTACCAAATGAAGTGATATAATGTAAATAAAAGTGCTTTGGAAACTATATCCAAAATGTTCAACAGCTAATCAGTGAAATGGGCAACTCAAGTTACAGGTAGAGTGTGAGGGAGCCAATCCCTTCAGGATTTCAAGGGCATCAGCTCGTTTTGTTTTACAGGGTAAACGGAGTGTGCACTGAGCTTCCTTTGACTTGTGACAGCACGGGAGAGGATGGTGTATATACTGTCAGCCGTAAGTATGTTAAAAAAAGAAGTTTTTCTAAATTCTACTTCCAGCTGCAAGGAATTTACTCTACTCCAATGTCTTAAGGATTTGATAAGTTCCTTATGTGTTTGTTTAGGTAATCTAATGTGGCCATCTAATAGTCAATATCCTGAATTTGGGAGAAATGTGTGTGTCAAAGCCAGTGCCTGGCACATGGTACCATCAGACAGAGAAAGAACCTTGGTCATATGTATTTCCTACAACAAAAGGAAGTTGGCAAATAAAAAAGTAAATTGGCAGGACAGTTTCACATTCCTTGCCCCCTTTTTAAAAAAATTATTTATTTATTTTGGCTGCACTGAGTCTTCATTGTTGCCTTTGGATTTTCCCTAGATTTAGCAATCAGGAGCTATTCTCTAACTGTGATGAGCAGGCTTCTCATTGGGCAAAGATTCCGCCTGCAATGCAGGAGACCTAGGTTTGATCTCTGGGTTTGGAATATCCCCTGGAGGGGAGCATGGCAACCTGCTCCAGTATTCTTGTCTGGAGAATCCCATGGCTTCTCATTGTGGTGCCTTCTCTCTTGTTGAGGATCATGGTCTCTAGGGCTCAGGGGCTCAGTAATTTCATCATGTGGGCTCAGCAGCTGGGGCATGTGGGCTCTAGAGTATACGATCTTAGTTGCCCCAAAGCATGTGGGATCTTCTTGGACCCAAGGATTGAACCCGATCTCCTGGAATGGCAGGTGGAATCTTATCCATTCGACCACCAGGGTAGTTCCATGGCCCACTTTCAGATGATGTCTGATAGCCATTGCCAGAGCATATCATTCAGGTTATAGCACTGGGTATATAAGGCCAACGGGGCTTATAGAGAAGACATTTGGCAGAGATGGCCAAGTGAGGTAGGTGGGTCCAAGGTGTCATAATAGAGGGGAAGTTACTTCTGTGGCTGAATTTTTCTACCCCTAATGGTCACTTCATCGGTGTTGATTAGAAATTGCCTCTCAAAGCCCAGAGAGATGCAGATGGAAGGCAGTAGACATCACTATTTCTTTCAGGATTTGTTTTGTGGGAGAGAACAGGTAAAAGGGTTTCACGTCTTTCCCACAGACCGAAGAACTTCTGAGCTGTGTTTTGTTTTCTCCACAGATGATGGAAAAAATATATTTCGCATACTTGAAGTGGACTATAGTCACCATATTATGTTTTATCTTGAGAACTTCAGCGACTCGTACAAACTGCTAGAGCTCTATGGTAGAGTATTTTCACACTGGCACTCATCTTGGGGTGGGGAGACCGGGGAAGGAAGGAAGCCTGGAGACAGAGTGGACCTCCCAATGGTACCCTGGGACCTCTCTCCTCATTAAAGACAGATGCTCCCCTTTGGTAAAATCTCTCAGGCTCAGTGATGGGAAGATGATGACTCTCATTGTGCCAGAAAGATATCCTAAAGGTGTCACATTCAAGAAAGACTTTTTTCCATCCCTGAGACTTGTGCCTAAGCATGTAATCAGTTCCATTCACTTTCCCACTCGGCCAGAGACCCACCCCTCTCGTGAGCCTCAGTCACCAGGAAACAGGACAAAGCTCTTCCTGTTACTCTTCCCATAGCCCGAGAACCAGATACGAGCCCAGAACTCAAGAACAGGTTTGTGGAAATTTGCCAGAAGCATGGAGTTGTTAAGGAAAACGTGATTGACCTGACCAAAACGGGTAAGTTGAGCTATCTCTGGCTTTCTCTGCCTGAAGTCCCATGTTGCTGAGTAGGAATGGTACTGAAGGGAGAAATCCAAGAGAAGTTAATACCCCCATTCAGTCCGCTTTGTCCTAACCTGGAAAACCATCTGGTTTCGTTCTGGGAAATAAACTGGGGTTGGTGTTTGAATGTGCTCTTTGCCTCTACAGATCGCTGCTTCCAGGAGCGAGGGAATGGAGTGGCCTAGGGCTGCAGTTTGGTGAGCTCTACTGAAGACGGGGTGGCCCAGGGTTCAGTACCTTCCAGAAGCATTAGGGGTTTACAGTAGAAGATTTAAAAGATCACAATAAAAATAATTTGATAGGAAGAGCTTGAAATTTGGAGTTAGAGGACCTGGGTTCAGGATCTACTCCTGCCATGTGCTTTTAAAGCAAATCATATACCAATTAAGAGGGAAAAATTATGTCTACCTTACAGAATTAGTGTGAATATAATGCTGCAGAAAAGGGCTCAGTAATTGATAATGTGGGAAAAAATCAGTAAGAATTACAGTTTTAAATGGGAAAAGAATGTGAGTATGATATTCAAATACATTCTGTGTTTATGGTCCATCTTCTAATCCTGAAAGCCCATCTCACCTTCCAATATATGGAAAACATTTCTTCCTTCAATCTCTGCACATCCTTAACTTGTACTCTGGGAATAGAGCTGTCTGACTTTCCAGTTGTCCTCCAATCTGGAAAATAGAATCTGGAGTTTCCTCCTCTGTTTCCTGTCTCAGACTTATTGTGTGGCTTCATTCAGATAATGTAAGTGAAAGTCTCAGCAACTATGGCTTACATAAAGTCAGCATTTAATAAAAGATTGCTATGGCTTTTGCCAATTTTTCAAAAATACTTTAAAATTTCCAGTGCTGAGGATGGCAGAAAGAAGCCTAGCATCCTTCATTG